CTGCCCTCTGCTGGAACACACCCGCGCCACGGCCACTGCTGCACGGGAGATCAGCAGCTTCGCCCTCTCTTCAGGCCAACACAAGACAGCCTTGGGTCAGTCGGCTACCTGCCGGCCTTCATGAAGGCCGACAACAGCAGCCGACGACAAGGGATCAGAGTGGTGCACCAGAATGGCGAACAAGCATGGAGGCGATACTCAAGCATGCGTTCATCTCCTGTGCGGCTCTTCCACTCATCGCCCTCATCTCCCTGACGCCAGCCATGCCGGCGCTGGCCGACACGCCGGAGGCCCCGCCGCCCTCGCCAGCCGCCGTGCAGCCGCTGACCATGCCCGCCCTGTTCGAGCAACAGCGGCCTGTGCGTCTGAATGTGGGCGGGCAGACCTTCTGGGTCGCCAGATCGACACTTGCCAAGTACCCCGACACTGTGCTTGGAGAGCTGGCCAATCAGCAGCTGGACACAGGCAGCGGCACTCTCGCTCGACTGGTTAATCCGTTTTTCATCGACGCTGATCCGGCGTACTTCGCTTACGTCGTGGATTACTACCGATTCGGCGCGCCCATCTATGTGGACCGATCGGTGGACATTCGCAAGCTGGTGCGCGAGCTGAGTCGGTTCGGCATTGCGATTGACGAGGTGCAAGACATTCAGCTGCCAAAGGAAGAGGCCCTCGAAGCGCTGGCTTACCGAGTGGCCCTGGAGATGCTCGGCAAGCAGCGTTGAAGTGCATTTGTAAGGGGTGGGACGTTTTCTGCTCCGACTTTCGACTACGACAAGCTGATCTCGAGTATCGGGGGCTCTCTACCGGGTGCGGGTGCCTACGTCGATTCCATCAAGGGCAACAATCCTCCAGAGGCCGACCGGTTTAGGCTGATGATACAGGAGCAGGCTGGGAAGGTACTGCGGAGTCGTGTAGTCAATGTGAAGGAACTTCAATGGGATGAGAAGGCACAGACCTACCTGATCAAATGGGATTATTTACCAATCTACCCTCAGTGGTCTATTACAGTCAAGTAGATGCATGAAACGGGCTACAAAGTTCGTCTAAGCATCAGTTCGTATCGAGCAAGCGGAGGGAAACAGTACATGCAGAAACAATGGACAACGTTCGTCAACTGTGAAAACATGTCGAACACTGCAAAGAAGCGTGAGCCATGTAACATGACACACACATTCAGAACTCAGGTCCAGCCAGCCATCTCACAGCCCCGCAGCGGGGCTGGTGCACGTGTGGCCTGTATGGCCCGCGGCTGACGAAGTCCTCCGCAAACGCGCTGGCCCTCCGTGGCCCTCTGGCGGCCGCCGCGCGCTGCGCATGACTCGCCACTTGGAATGCGTTGTGCTTCATCAGCTCGACGGACAGGAGCTGGCTCCAGTGGTTGACGATACTGTCTCGGAAAGCTGTGTCCTCTTCCATGGGAATGGATGTGGGGCGAGGCTTTCGTTTGTCGATCATCTTGAGAAAATCCATGGTTTTCTCTCCCCATCTGCCAAATGTCTCCGCAGCGAGGGGCACGAAGCGGAAACCGGCTGCTTGGGTGATTGGTCCATACTTGTTGATCTTGTCTTTCTCCGCAAGCTGAGCCGCCTTGCCACCTGGAAGCTGTGCACCACGCCAGTTGACTGTTCGGTGGAAGGGGTGGGCGACGACACCGTTAGATTTCGATGCGCTGGTTGTTGGGGTTGTCGTCAGGCGGGGTAATGCCGAGGCTGTGCAGAGACACCTCCACATTGGAGGGAACATCTGCCTCAGCCTGTTATCCTATATGTATCATTGAAGCTCATTCACAAATGACAGGACATTTTACCGTGATCTGTTGTCCTATATATAGCATAACGGATAACACCTATATGATATCCTGACAGCGCTTTCTGCTGGGCCGCTCCTCCCTCCTGGCCACGACCACTCGAAACTTGCTTGATGGACGGTAGACATGGGTCAGTCAAACGGTCAGTCCAAATGTTCCCATCACATCCCTCCATCAAAGTATCTAGTACACTTCACTTACGACATCATCTCATCGGCCCACCCACTCACTCATGAAATCAATCTATCCCTCCATATCGTATGGGCACCTCCTTCTCACTGCATGCGGCGTCGATGCCGCTCTCTTTGGCATCCATCTCGCCCAGTATCCAATCGTGGATCAACCGCCGTGCCAGTGCGATCTTGCCTGGCAGATGGAAGCCAGTTGGTGCCTCGCCCGGACGGTCGAACACGTCAAACCGCTGCCTGCAAACAGACAAACACAACAGACAGCACCCACGGGCAGAGGACTCTGTGTGTGTGTGCGGCTCTGCCTCGAGGTGCGTGAATGCACTGGTAAGTTAAATACCTGATAAAGGACCTGTGAAACCACCGAACATCCTCCATCTCCTCCATGTCCACGTGCACAGAGGGCAGCCACACGTGGCCCTTGCCGGCAGCAGTGTAGTGGCCGCCGTATGACACGGCCGGGAGGCTGCCCCCCTCGACGATCGGCAGCTCACCCAGCTTTGCGTCAAGCGGGGAGGGACAGGGAGAGGGGGAGGGGGTGGGGGTGGGGGTGGGAGGGCTCTCATCGCCTGCTGGCTTTGCTGCCTCGACCTGGAAGCCGATCATGAGGCTGGCTGGGAAGAGCCACGGCTGGCTGGCGATGAATCGCAACGTCGAGAGATCCACCGACACGCCACTCTCCTCCATCACTTCCCGATGCACCTGTGGACCAACCGAAGAGTCAGCCACACACAACACACGCACACGCACACGCACACGCTTACAGACGTGGGTGTGGCTGCCTCTCGCTCGTCATTCATTCATCATACCGTCTCTTCTATGGATTCGCCCATCTCACAGAAGCCAGCCAAGGTGGAATATCGACCGCTGTTCCAGGCAGCTTTGCGGCCCAGAAGGGCATAGTCGCCACACGTTACAAGCGTGATAATCGCTGGGTCTGACGCAACCACATACACATAACAAAACGAATCAGTCAGTCGCTGAGACCTCTACCCACCACTGTGCTGTGCAGGTGCAGCTCACCTTGTCTGGGATACTGTGTTATGCCGCATGATGTGCACTTGCGAGAGGTGCCGGCCTTCTGCGCCAGCATGCGGGCGCCGCAAGAGGAGCAGAACACAGTGCTGCGGTGCCACGCGGCTATGCCCCGGCTGGTCGATAACAGAGAGGCCTCCTGCTCATCGCTCATCGCCAGAGATGCACTGCCAAGCACCAGCAGGAAATGAATGGGCCCGTGCGTGCAGCTCTGTGACTTTGCGTACCGTACCCTCTGAGGTTCTTCATGATCCACCCATCAGGCGGGACGAAGTCCTGCAGCCCACTCAGATCAAGCGCATAATACGGCTCCTTCTGCTGAGTCGTGCCGAGCAGGATCACGATCACCGCCTCCTGCCGCTGCTGCTGCTGCTGCTGCTGCTGCTGCTCGTTGCCTCCCCCACCATGCTTCTCCAGTAACGCGGCGGCCTCCATGTTGGTCAGGATGAGAGCATTCAGCTGCCCCTTGCTCTCTCCCTGTGTGAAGGTGCTGTTGCCTTTGTGCACAGGGACGAACCGCGCACGTGAGTCAGCGAGCGCGTCAGCCAGCGAGATGTCAGGCGGGTTGAAGGGGCGGTCAATGCCAGGGGCGGTGAAGTAGACTGGGCGCCACGGTGACGCGAGGGCCGTTGTCTGTGTGAATCGAGAGGAATGCGACGCTTGGCGGAAAGCGTTGGCGGACATGATTGAGTGCACGTGCAGGAACAGCAGGGGATGCCGATTCCGCAAGAACAACATGTAAGGCGCCCGCTGACGCCTGCGTCCTTGCCTTCGTCACCTACATGACACAACAATGAATCACGCACAATAGATATGTTTGATGGGTCTGGTGCAAGATGCGATTGAAATTTTCATAGATCTCACCTGCAATTGTGCAGACAGGCCTTCCTCATCTTAGAACGGTTTTTCCAAAAGCGCGCAACGGTCAAACGGCAGGTCTGACGCAGCCATGGCGATGCACCGGCGCATCGTGTGTGTCCTGAAAGGTGGGGACAAGACAGAGGACCTTACATCTGAAGAGCAGCACGAGTTGAAGCAACAGGCACTCGAACGAATCAAGAAGCAAAGAGAACAGCAGCAACAACAGCAGCATCAGGAGGTAGACGCCAATGCAATGGAGGAGCGGCCCGACCAGGCGACAGCCGATGATCAGGGCATCGTCCCAGCGGGTGGGGCTCACGCACACACAACACATATCTGCCTGTCTGACACTAGTACGTGTGTTTCTGTCCCTCTCTCCCGTCTCCCTCCTGCAGAGTTTGAGGTGCCTCCGATGGAAGCGCCAGACACGCGCCCTCCCCTCGCCTCCATTAACACGCAGGAGCCTCCCGCCGCCACACAGCCCACCAAGAAGCCACGCCGCGCGGCCCGCTCCAAGTCACATGGGGCGAGGCTGGACCGACTGACAGTGCAGGAGCGGCTGGACGACACGCGGGAGCAGCGTGTGCTGGAGAGGTTCAAGCGGGCGAATGCCGATTGGCAGGGGCTGAGGGAACGGCTGGCGCAGAGGTCAGGGAGTGGGTGTTGTGTGTTGTATGAGTGGATGAGATGATTGAGCTGGATGAGCATCGATTGGACTGTCTGTTGCCTCATTTCATGGACATGCAGGCTGAATGTTGGCATCGAGGACTTGGCCGTCTCCCGGGCGGAGGAATATCGGGAGAAAATCGAGGTGACAAGACGGAAACACATGCAGATCAGATCCACTTCACCACTCCTTCTTAGAATCACGACATCATGTCTCTCTCCATCTGTCCACCAGGTGCTCGAGTTGCTGGATGAGTCCATCCCGGTGGCAGACAAAGGTTGGCAGGCGCCGACGACCACAAGAGGCAGGCTTCTATTCGTCGATCTTGATGTCTCTTGTCTGTGGGTGCAGGGGGCTACAGCTGGTTCATGTCGCTGCGCAACAATGACTCACAGCTCATCAACGTGGGCAACCGCTTCTCGGGCCTCACGCTCGAGATCAAGAAGGAGTGGAGCAAAGTCAAGGAGCTCATCAGAAAACCATGGCAAGCACACGTAAACGGTGTGAGACACAGAAGAGGCGTCTCGTTTTCTACAGGTTGACGGAGCTGCACACATTGCGCAAGGCGTCCTCCCACCACCCGCCGCCGCTCACGCCCCTCTCCTACACGGCGGCCAAGTGGATTAACTTCGAGAAGACCGGCCGCACCTCGCCAACTGATGCTGCCAGCTCCCACCATGGGATTGCGGGGCCAAAAGTGCAGATCAAGACGTGGAGGGAAAACAGATACCTCGTCGAGCGGTGCGGGCATTATTCGTGACGACAGATCAGACGGACCCTCCAGAGTCTGCTCGTGTGTGAGTGGATGCGTGCCGTGCAGGCTGGCCAAGTACGGCAGGAGGATGGAGAAGCTGTCTCCAGCAGCTGTGGCCGTCGATGACCACCTCACAGTAAGACTCTCCATGCACATACAAACATAAACAGACAGACGCACCTCTTTCTCCGCCTCTTCACGTCTCAGCTGTATGGAGTGGGTCTGAACCCGATAGCAGAGGAGGGTGTCGGTGAGGGTGTGGGGAGTGAGTACCCGCAGAACGGCGAGGGCAGCCCCATGACGCCATCACGCATGTCAAGACACTTCGAGGAAGAAATCGGTAAGCCGGCCGCCATCTCACCGACCGTTGGATCAGTGCTGCTGTGACTGATGTGCACAGAGCGTGGAGAGATCGCTCTTAAGACCTACAGGTAGGTCGCGGGCACAGCAGCTGTCTGTATGCGCCTGTCTATGGCGTTGTGCAGGCCAGGCGGGACAGTGCGCGGCAGCCTGAGCCAGCCAGAAGAGCTGGTAAAGGGGCCCAACATCCAGACATTCCCGCAAAAGGTCAGCGAGACACAGAGAGATGCACGCTCATACGTGCCATCCATCCATCCATCCATCCATGTGTCTGCAGTTGTTGTTTGACACGCGGATCGGCAAGACGACCACCCAGACTGTTCGCCTGCGCAACACGGGCACATGTGTGCTCTTCTATGAGTGGATACTTCTCCCACACACGGTAGCTTTCTTCCAGAGCAACCATCCCTTCCCACATACACACACACACACACACAGGCATCCACCAATTGCACCGCATGAATGTCTGGCTGGCGGTGTCTTTCTCGCTGCTCTTAACGTACAGCGGTCGGTAGAGGTGGCGGATGGTGTGTTGCCAGCTCCTCCAGTGGAGCCACAGCGCTTCTTCTGTCACCACGTGAGCACCTGGCTTACACACATGAGTACGTCCCATTGCATGCCCTGTGTGTATTGGTTGCAGCCGAAAGGCTCTCTATTGCCTGGTTGTGACGTGGCGACCTACTTCGCCTTCCGATCAGAGCTGCCGGGCATGTTCCAGGAGACATACGTCCTCCGCACAAGGTATTGCATACACGCAGCATGATATGATGAATGGATAAGGCTTGTTTCTTTCTCATCCTCTTCAGCCCTGACGTCTTCTCGCCCCCAGACCCGTTGGAAGTCCGCGCAATCGCACACAAGGTCAGCAAAGTCATGCGTCAGTGAATGTATGACGATATGTGCGCATGTGTGTGTAGGCGGATGCCTTCGCGTCGGATCGCGAGGAGCTGGATCGTCGCGTGGCCCAACAGCAGCGCGTGCATGGTGTGGAGGAGGTGCTGGAGGACGTCCTCAGGCAGGCCAAGACACCGCCACCACCGCCACCAGACATGACGGATCGCACGTCAGCCCAGCCCTGTGCACACACGACACGACAGCACACACAAACATACACCACACCCAGACTTACTTAGCTTCCTCCCCTCATTGCCCTTGTCAGTGTGCAAGAGCGCGTGTTTGAGGAGAATGCATCTCCGCTGCCCCTGCACTACTCGCCGCCTCGTTATGACCAACTGTCAGCCATCTATGCCTCGACGGTCGCACAGCAACAGGAGGGGCAGGAGGCGATGATGGAGTGGAACGGGAAGGTTGGGTCGCTGTGGGATATTGTCGCGGAGATAGCGGACGGTGAGGCCAAGAGGGCGTGCGAGGCTGCAGTCATGGACTCGCTCATTCAGGTGAGTCAGCGGGTCAACACACACGGCTGCCTCAGTTGGCGTGACCGACTTGTGATGCACATGATTTGCCCACTCAGTCGCTCAGTCGGCCATCCATGAAGGGTGCCTTCGCTGCGGAGCTGCCGGCTCTGCTGCAGGAGTGCATAGAGGACATACCGGCCACCATCAACGCCAAGAGGGAGGCGTTGGGTCTTGACGTGCTGCCCTTTATCGGCCCGCCACCAGATGAGCACGCAGACGAAGCCACACAACAGGAATACCAGGCACGCAATGTCAATCAAACACACCAACACAGACGCGATGACACAGACACGTGCATCTGCACATCAATCAGGACGCCCTCAATCGTTTTCTGGAGCTGCGCACACAGCAGCCGCCCACCACCGACAAGAAGAAGAAAGACACCAAAGACAAGAAAAAGGCAGAGGCAGTCGATGAGGCACAGGACACCCAGTGGCTCACAGAGACCGTCGAAGCCACACTCGAGAGCATCAGCGAGGCGCTGGAGCAAGCTGACAATCGCTCCCGTATCCGTGCCTTTGAGCAGTCTTTGTCTCAGCACCGGCACGATCTCACTGATCGACTCAAGGTAAGCAAGCAGATACTTACAGAGCCTCACACACGTCTGAATCTCTCTGTCATTTCAGCACTATCGTTGTCGGCTGTCGATTGACTCACCTGCATTGTCACTGCCCGGCAGTGTGGTGATGCTGCTGGTGGACCTCTCAGTGCCCTTCACCCACACACAAGAGGCTGCGCAGTTCTTTGCTGCCAAGAAGGAGGGGAGGAGGGGCAAAGCAGAAGAGGAGAAAGACGTCGAGGCAGTGCTGGACGAAATCTCCGTCGAGTGAGCCGCCAGTGCCCATCCAGAAAAATAGCACATATGTGTCTCGTGTTGCAGCATCCTGAAGCGGCGACTGGCCATCCTTCCTGAGATGCTGGAGCAGGGCGTCCAGGCCGTCATCGTGGCAGCCCACCTGGGCCCCCCTCCCTCATTCACCCCCTCTACAAGCAACACAGACGACACAGAGGCGGCAGAGGGAGAGCACGATACAGAAGAGGAGGGCACCAAGCGAGATTGGTGGATGACCGGCGAGCGGCCTGTCAGCCCTGCGGGTGGCGACAGTGGTGTGTGGTCTCTCAAGCCATTCCTGGGTCTGGTGCAGGATGCGGTGGAGGGCAGCGCGGCGGTGTGTGAGTTTATCGAACACACCGAGTGGATGAGCGACGCGAACTACGCCGACACACTGAGGTGAGTCACGGGTGGCATGCTACTACACAACAAACGGCAAAGCCACACATTTCTGCCTGTGTGTACTGACAGAGAGGAGCCGGAGGGCCGCGTGTATCTGCTCGAGAACCTGACCCACATCTACGAGCAGCACCCCCACTGGCAGAGCTCATCACCCGCACACTGCCGCCAGATCCCACTCGCGTACCGCCAGGCCTTCGGCCGCCACCTAGCCGCCCAGCTGCGGCCAGACTGCATAATCAACGACGACCTCTCCACCGCACACCAGTGCCTCACCGCCTCATGTCTCACATGGGAGCCTTTCCACCATTTTCCTTTGCGTGTGATCGGCCCCTCTGTGAGGAGTGAGGTTGTGTCTATCGGAGAGATGGTGCTGGGCAACGTGCATCGGTGGCGTGAGAGGGAGGAGCCGCCGCCGCCCACTTGCCGAGTGGATTACCTCAGGCGATTTCTGCAGAGAGATGTTGGCGAGGTTGGCGAGCGAGTCCAGGAGGTATGTACATGAGCGTGTTCTGCGGCGGCCGGATCAGGTGTCGTGTGTGGACCCGTGTGTGCAGGTGATAGACGAGAATCAGGTGCGGAGGGAGAAAGAGATGGCGCACCAGTGTCTCCCGTTCCTCACCATCATCTCTGGACAACCAGACGCCAGCAGCCAGGAATCTTCCGCCACACACCTGGTGGGGCAGCTCAGGTCACTGCGGGACGCCCTCGACTTCTCGACGGCGATCTTCCTCTGCGGTGACATCGCCAAATGTGTGGCCCAACACGCATATGCTGTCGACTGGCCGTCAGCAGCACACGCAGACGCCAGCGAGGAAGACGCAGAGAAGGAAGACATCATCAAAAGGGCGGTTGTGGACCTCGCTCGGATGGCTGTCGATCGCAATGTGGAGCTCACCTTGCCGCAGGACGTCTCCTGCGAGTACACCGGCAAAGGGGAAGAAGGGGAAGGGGAGGAGTCGGCAGCTGAAGAGGACAAGGGCGAGCCCGCCGCTGAAGTGCCTGCCTACAAGGTTGGTGAAGTGCGCACATTTGCCGTCCCGCCACACTCACTGGAGGCCTCATCCGTACCAAGTGGCGAGGAGCAGCAAGCTGACGTCTTCGCGCTTGACGAAGACGCTGCTGCCCCCGCTGATGTCGAACAGCCACAGCAGGAGCAAGACAACACAGCTGAAGACAACAATCATGAAGAAGGGGAGACACAGCGGGAGGCACAAGAAGCCGCGCCGCCCTCTCTGCATCCCGTTGTTCCCGCACGTGATGAGTGGGTGTTCCGAGATGTGGGTCCGCTGACCGTGCAGATGCTGGCTGCCAAGATGCGCAAGTGCAGGGGAGTCATGTGGATGGGCGGGGGCCTCGGGGCGGACGACAAAGCCACCAAGAAGCTGATACGCTACATGGAGCAGCTCACTCACCCGTAAGCACATCTCCCTTTTCGTGGAGGTGGAGACACGGTCGTTTATCTCTATCTGTGTGTCGCTGCGTATTCGTTGTGCAGCGAGGAGGAGTTTGAGCTGTCTGAGGATGAAGAGGAGGAGGCCGAGGAAGAAGAGGCCGAAGAAGAACAGGAAGCGGAAGAAGAGAAAGAGGAAGGCGAGGAACAGGGCGAGGGCGAGGAAGACAGGCAACAGGATGCTCAACAAGTAAGCCACCCGCATATATCTATAGAGACACACCATCATCCTGCCACTCTTCAGGCCGCCACGCAGGAGACAGGTGCGGCCCCCGCACAGCCAGAGGAGCCCGACGTGGACCTGCAGCTCTCGTGTGTCATCGGCAAATCCATCCTGGCCCATGCGGTCCGCTTCCTCCGCCGCAGCGACGGGCTGACAGTCATGTCGGCTGCAGCAGAGGGGAATCTTTTCGGGGCGCCAGCCGGAGAGTGGCTGCCCGCGTTTGTGGCCATGGATGGGAGACAGTAGTGTGTCTGTGTGAGTATGTGTGTCTCAGTGCGTGACTGTCTTTTCATTCAATAGCACCGTGGGCTAAAGCTCCCCGCATGCATCGCTTCCAAGAAGAAGAAGGCCAAGAACAAGGTCCGTTCATGCCGTCATGGGAGCATACTGTAAAAGCCGTGCCACAGACGGGAGTCGTCGTGGCGCTTCATCCACTCCTTGTGGCCTGGACACACACACACATCCGTACCGAATCCAACCCTAGGTTCGTTGTCATAAAAGGAACCTGGGAAAAGCGTGCAAGTGTAGAGTCCAGAGAGTGCGTAGTGGGCCAAGGAGTACCCGCAGCTATGGTTTTGTCTATCACTCGAGTGTAGGGAGCGACGCAGAATGTCCCCTCGCCCGACGTAGGGAGGAAAGACAGAAGTCCCGATCTCGTCGCCTGCGCGTTCATCTGCTGTGTCCCACAGTAGTTGCCTCTCTTGTTGCGCTCGAGCCCCTTCTGATAGTCCTCTGCCGTTCCAGGTTGCGATACACACGTTCCTTGGCCAACCTGCACGTGGGAACACGTATGCAGGCATTTTTTGACCACGGGCATCAGGACTTACCGGTTGGTCGCTGTTGTCGATAACGGTAACGACACAAACATCTCCGTCGGCCGCGCAGACATCCATGGAGCTGGCGCCCATGTGTGAGACGACAACTCCGCCGGCAGCTGCGTATTTCTCCTCATCGCCTGCCCCACCCTCCGTCTCCTGAGTCTCCTGAGGCTCTTCTCCAGTGGCCTCCTCTCTGAGTTCCTCGGCGAACCACACACGACAGGGCTGGCCGGGCTGCATCATCATGTTGCGGCCGGCGTCTGCAGACAGACCGACCGCCATCCCTGCATCAACTATTCCAAAAAGCGCAGCAACCGTACGTAATATGCATACCATTGTTGTCGACCGACTGAGTCACGTGATGGGCGGCCGAAAGGGACAGCACGAGCAGCGGTAGCAAGAGGAAAGCCCTCATGATTGCAGTTTGGAAGCGAGACGCCCCCAGCCCCCAGGTCCCAAAGAAGTTTACAAGAGGCGGAGGGAGCCAGCACGGGCCAGGCAGGCAAGGAAGAAAGCGCTCAGCTACGCTCAGCCCGCAGCAAGATACTGTACGGGTGATGATGCGCTGTTGCAGGCTTTCGCACTCGAGGCCGGTACAGCGAGATACTCGTGGATTTTCCACTGTTTCGGCTGTGGATCTCTGCTGTGCAGCGGTCACCCGTCAGCACAGATGTCATCTCCGCCTTAGCGTCAGCTTTCATCTATCCTCATCGCTCATTTGATGGACCAGCACGACGCATTCTCACCCAAGACGGGCGCTGCTCACGCTTCAAAGGCATATGCGTCGCCGGCCGCCTACCCGGCCGCCACATCGCACTACGCCGCAGTAGGGAACGTGCGGCCCAGCTATTCCTACATGCACCCGGACCACCACGGGACCGCCGGCTCGTCGGCAGTGGGGAGGGGCGGGGCATTTGGGGATGGTGCGGCCCGTGCTGCTGGTGAGGGAGGCAGGGGCGTGATGCTCAAGGGGCTGCGCACCAACGAGGAAATAGCGCTCGTGTCGGGGCTGCTCATCATCCTGGCACTCGTGAGCGCATGGTGCAAGCGAAAGGCTGACACACACACGTGTACATGGCCTTTTGTGTGTGTGTGTGTGTGTGTGCGTGTTGTCTGTATGTCAGCTGGTGATTTGGAACGCATCTGCGTTGGAGCGGTCGTACAATTTCACCTTCTGGGTGGGTCAGGAGCTGCCCATAACGATGCTGGTGCTGTTTACCATGTTCCTGGCCTTCTATATCGTCACCATGATCGTGAGTCCGACTGAAAGAATGGCGGGCAGTGCAGTGAGTGCACATGGGATGGATGGATGGAGGAAAGGGAGGGACGTGTGTGCTGTGCTGTGCTGTGTGCAGATAATCTTCAAGACGACCAATTTTCTGCATCGCAATGACCACACCATGATGCTCGTGGCGGTGAGTATATAGAAGCTTACACAGAGGGCTCGTTCGTTTGCCGATGCTTCGCTAATTTGGGTGTGGTGCAGCTGGTGTTTGCTACGTTGTTCGGCCTGGTGCTCATATACACGAGCATGCCCATTGGCCGGCTGGTGAGTACAGTACTCGGCTGTACGTCTGTCTGCAGTGCGTGTGAATCTATGCTCTTTCGTGTGTGTGTGTGTGTGTGTGTGTTGCAGTCGATGGACACGTACAACAATCTGATGTTCCGCTGCGACTTCTCCGACCAAACCGTGGGCAGCTCACAATACATCACATACACACATACATCATGATGCACACAGCGACAGCGTTGATGCATTCCTCTTCCTCTGCTACTTCCATCTCTGCTCTGCTCGCATCGCAGTCGAAGGTCCACCAGACATGGCAGGGTGAGCCACCAAGACACATAATTTACACGCTTGTTTGCGGCCATGTCTGCCTATCTGCGCCGCGTCAGTTCTCTACAATATCCGGAAGCAGCCCGAGTGCGGCCGCCAACACTCGATAGAAGACTGCACCGAACAAGGCAATCACACAAGAACATACAACCACACAAACACATACACTGCCCTTCCTACCAGGTTTCGAGCAAACGGCCGAGACGGAGTTCCTCAAGCGCATTGAGGACGATTTCCGCCGCTCGGGCTTCTGCTGGCCGACCGAGAGCAAGACGGCCACACAGGTCGCCCAGGGCCTGGCGCCGTCAGAGACACTGCAGAGCGTCAGCGAGAAGGCCGCACAGCCCGCAGAGGGGACACTCATGGTGCAGACCAACAGCACCATTGCCCGGGACAAGCGGCATCATGGCCACCATGTGCACAAGAAGAGACACGTCAAGGGGGGGAAGCGAGAGAGAGAGGGCGGGGGGGCAATAATTATTGCGGCAGACACGGCTGAGAGAACTCATGTGAGAGGAGAGGAGGGGCAGACGCCGACACCGCCAGCACACCGACACTGTTCTCCAAATCCAACTATAGGTGAGTGAACTTAGGCGCACAAGCATCCAATCCAGCCTGGGGGAAAACATGGCTTCATACATGTCAGGGCCCGTTGCGCTCCCATGCTTGCGCGAGACATGAAGGTCAGCCCCACCCACTAGTGCATGCAATTGACTGGCACCTGGCTGGGCTGCCCTCTCTGTGTGTTGGTCCAGGATTTCGCGGCCGACATTGCCTTCACGACCTTCCAGCTGGGGATATCCCTCATCGAAGCTGCCGTGCTCGCAGGTAAGCCGCCAAGACGCAAACACGCATTCATGGAGGGCTGGATGGATGGTTACGTGAGGCTGACTGAAGGGGGGGTGTGCGTGTGTCAGGTTTTCTGAAGCTCATCGTTATATGTTGGAGGAAGGACAGTGGCCAGCCGGGAGAGGCGACGTACCTGACAAGTATGTCTGTGAGCCGAGAGCAGCCGAATCGCCATCCATACACAAACTGGTATTGTTCACTGTGTGCCTGTGTGGGTGTGTGCAGGCGCCTACTGAGAGAAGGCCAGCCTTGTTGATATGGTTCCTTCGACACGAATGAATGAATGAACCGTGTCAGTCAGCATCTAGAGAGTCGACTGATGGGCTTTGTTGCTGCGCTGCATGGTGGATGGGCGGGTGGGTGGATGGATGAACGGACGGACGAATCGCATGCCTTCAGTGGTATGGATACACACATGTCACAAAGCACACTCGCACACGTGACGTACGGACAGACCGCCCTAGCCACACCAACACCACACACGACACGACGAGACGAGAGAAGGGAGGGTGTCTACTCGGCCAATCACCACCACACGTGTCAGCCTCACCCACCCCTGCTCATTCAGGTCAGGCTGGTCTGAACAGCTGTTCGACGTCAGCAGGTGTCTGTATGGTCGCCATGGTCGCCAGCGTGTCGTCCAGCTCCAGCATCACCTGCCGTTGACACGTGTACGAGATCGGACCTGCAAAGGGGAGTGGAGTAAGATCAGCTCAGCCGATGGCTGGTACGGTACATGGATGCATCATGTCCGTTCGGCCAACCCCACCCAGATTTCGGCCATTCTCGAAAGGGTCTTCGATCCACATACCACAACCTGCACACATCACGTATGAGTCCACACAGGAAACTAACATGAATGACACAATCCATCCATCCGTCCTCCATCCAACTGGTCTCACCTCTGTCCCAGTCGGCTTTTTCTCCCCAGTTTCCCAGCCCATCGCGATGCTCGGCAGCAGTAGGCACCACGGAGTCACCAGCCGGATGGTAGGGCTCCCTCCTCTGCCGAGACGGCCGCTTGACAGAGATGCCGCTGTTCCGTCGACAGTACTGGTATTCGCACGAGTAGTAATGCATGAACTTGTAGAGCAGGGCCAGCAGCCCATCCCCGATGTCGCCCATCATCACCGCATCCTCATCCTGCAGCCCGAAGGCCCGCCTCCGCGCCTGCTCCTCGTCGGTGGACATGATCGCCCCGGGCTGGCACAGGAGGTCTTGTGTCTGCATGAGGGCCAGCGAGCGATCGGCCTCCTCGTGAAGCCGCTCTCTCAGCCCAGATGCCGGCGTGAAGATGGCCGAGTTGGGGCGCCTCTCGCTGGGTTGCCAGAAGAAGACGTCCATCGGTGGCTCGTCCACGAACACCTTGGGGTAAGGCTTGAAACAGATGTTTTCGGGCGGCGCCTGCAGGATGGGGAGGATGCCCTCGTGCTGCATGAAGTGGATGACGAGCAGCAGCCACGCGTAGGGAGACGGCAGGCCGTCCCGTGTGTCGGTGAGGGAGCGACTCTTGGCCCACGTCTTGACTAACACGCCAAGGCCGGCCACACGGTGGTCGAACTCCGCATACGTCCTAAGGAAAGGAAAGGAAAGGAAAGGAAAGGAAAGGCAAGGCACACACGGCATCACAATTGACACGCTGCCTGTATGTTTTTGTTTGTGCAGCCCCACATTATCTCCCTCACCTCAGCATCCGACTGTTGTGCACAACGCATTCTTTTCCAAACGAGATGTCCATGTGTGTGTGCGTCCCCAGACCCCACTGGCACCGCAGAATCGGCACCCTCGCCCCGCTCACAGCCTCGGTGTTGAAGCCCGTCCTCTCCATCGGCCCCCGCAGCCTGTCGATGGCCTCCAGTACACGAGTACGGAAGGAGGCCCGGCCGCCCAGACCCACATCATCCAGGGGCAGCACCAGATCCAGGTCAGACGAGCGAGTGGCGAAGCCTGCATATGAACATGCACATCAACATCAAAGGGGTGTTTTTGGCCCAGATGGCTGCCTTGCATTGCATGTGTGTAATTTTGCACTGCCAGTGTGTACCGCACCTACCGCTCACAGCAGATCCATAGAGGAGCGGGGGGTAGCCGAAGGTCGCCTCGCACGCCTCACGAGCTGCCGCAGCACATAATATCACCGACACACTCACACGTATGTATATTGATGGTGTTCTCGACGTGTGGATCTGCCCGCCCACCTTTGCCATAGGCCGCCATGTGTCTGTTCATGTCGTCCTCAGTCGGCTTGTTGCGCCTCACAACCTTCCACAGCTGCGCCTCACACGCATCACGCGCATCAGATCTCGCCATTCTCACAACCAATATCTGTGTGCAGCATCAATTTCTCTCCCGAGGTGCACTGGAGACCCGACGCGTCGCCCAGCCCCTCTGCGCCATTCCAGTGCGAGCTTTGACGACACGCGAGCTTTTCTTCCCTCTCTCTCTCTTTGACCGTTTTGACGTGACCCAAGGTTGGGGGTCTTGCCCTATGACAGACAGGCACCCGTCTTCTCGCCCCAACTCCCTCAGCATCAAGGGCGAGTTTTGTCCGCCTCGGTCAACAAGCATCCCTTTCCTGTGAAGGCTGTGGTGCAGTGAAGAAGAGTCAAGCAACTGCAGTGATGGTGGACCACAGCGACGCGAGAATGCGGAACATCTGCAGGAGAACGGTGAGCACACACGCCTTCTTTTCCTCCAACGGACACTCAGCACTGCCGGTGCTGTGCGTGGCTTGCTGCAATGCCTGCAGGCCGACAGCTACCTGGACCGTGCAGAGGCACTGTATGACTCGGCTGCTTTCGTCTACAACGGCACCATCGACGGCATCAGGGTGAGTGCGCAGGCATACAGGGAGGAGATTAATTAAGACACTGACGTCCTGACCTGCCTTTTGCGGTGGTGCAGACTGAGCGTCTGACGGTGCCGGGCCACCCTCCAGTCTTCCGCGGCTCCATCGACATTCCCCTGTCGACGGGCGTCACATTCACAGACGCATTCCAATACCTCAAAGACCTCGAGCGGCGATGGTAGACGGAACGGGACTCTCACTTATGGGACGAAGGCACCCCTCCAGCTACCTACCGGCCATTGTCTGTGTGTGGTGTGGTGCAGTGAGTTTGACGCCATGTGTGAGGATTCGGTGTTTTTGCATCGGTATGAGGGCGAGAGCATCATGTCGTACCAGTCGTTTAGAGGCATGTACGGGCTCGACGGCAGAGAATTCTATCTGATCGGGTGAGCACCCACAGACACACACACACACGCATTGCATTGGATTGATCCGTCTCTTATCTTGTTGTCTCTCTTGTTGCCATCCATGCCACCAGATTTGAGCGGTGGCCGAGTGCCGACCATGTGGTCCTCGCCGGCGGCAGCCCCAACGCCGCGGCCCCCCACCCCCTCCCCTCCTTCACTCCCACATCCAAGCCCACCCTCAGGGCCCTCACATCCACCATGGAGCGGCTCAAGGCCGCCCGCACACGCAACAGCAGGGCGGCCCTCAAGCGCCATCACACCGGCCACATCTACCTGGCCTCATACGACATCGAGCTGGACGAGCGGGCCGGCGTCCTGCGGCTGCGGGCTCTCTCCCAGACGGACTTGGGCCGGCTGCCGCAGTGGATTCAGAACATGGTGACGACCAAGCATGTGACTTCACTGAGACGGATCGCAGAGAACCTGACGGCGATCGCAGCGACGGCCCGGCGAGGGGAGGGAGAGACAGAGCCAGACGGGCTGCCGACGGATGCGTCATGCTCGCCGTCGAGCGACGTGGAAGTCATGTCGACGTGCACGTGGATGGCCCTTGCGAGCACTGCCGTGGCGTCGAGCGACGCGACGGCTGTCAGCGATGGAGATGGCCTGTCGCCCATTCACAACCGGGGCGAGGGGGCCAGGGCCGACGGGGCGTTTTGCTGGGATGACGAAGGGCTCGCGACAGAGGCGGAAGGCAGCCTGGCTCAGCAGGTGCGCAGCGCACAGACAGACAGACCACTGTCGCTTGCGCAACATCTGACCTGCATTTCTCTGTTTGCTGTGTGGGGCTTGCCTTGCTCGTTTCAGGTTCATTGTTTGTGTGCGCCGGCTCTGATGGATGGCCGGTCGTGTGTGGGCGGCCTCTGGCGAGAAGGGGAAGGGCGCTGCTGACAGGCAGGCAGGCGGGCAGACAGAGGGGCATACACACAGGCAGTCCGGCCGGTTGGGTGTGTGCGTGTTGACGTACCTTTTGGATGAAGAAGCGGTCTCGCCGGCCACCCTGGGTGCCTGCCGCCGCATCAGCGATGGCCGGTGGTGGCTCATTGGATTTCTTCGTCCCGTCCGTCGAGCTGATGATGAAGACACAGATGATTTTCGTGCTGATACATCCACACACACACACAGAGAGAGAGAGAGAGATACATGCATATTGATAAATTGGTCCTGTGGATATAACAAAGCACACCGCATAGGGGTGTCTATGTCTGTACTCTTGTTAAAGGGCAGCAGGGAGCGAAAGAGGGAGAGCTGTGTGTGTGTGGTGTAAAGAGGAGATGGCCAGATGGTCTTTGAATCCCCCCCGCCTGAGTGATTGAGTGATTGAGTGGTCTGTGGCTCGCCCCACCCCGCCCCTGTCTGATGAGATAGATGCATGCCGCGTAGAACGAACGCCTGAGAGAGGTTTTGTAGTGTTCTCTCTGATGGATGGATGGATGGCGGGGTGTGATGTGATGTGATGCTATGTGTTGTGTTGTTATGTGTTGTGATGTTTTGGAGGGCCGCTGGATGATATCGATGAGCATTCTATGCTATGCTATGGTGTCTTATATATACTCGTGTATGGTATGTAGTGTCTGTCTCTGCTAGTGGGCTGCGTCGATGGCCGCACCTCAGTAGCTAAGCAGCACAGCACAGAACGCACCGAAGCCGACGGCTCGCCTCTCTCTCTCTCTTGTGTCATGTCCAAGTGTCCCCGGGGCACTTACACACACACACATGCACATGAGGGGCCATGCCTTGCAGGTGGCGGCCTGCCCATCGATGGGTGGAGGGACACACATGGCCGCCGGCGTGCGTCTGTCCACTCATTGATCAAATGCCTCCATTCCATGCATCTGTGTGCCCTGCATTTGACTTTTGGTGACTCATCCTCTCTCTCTCTCTCTCTCTCTCTCCAGGAGAGGAGCCTGGATTGCATTGCATTGCATGTGTGGAGGGTGGATGGGCGGTTTTGATGAATTCCTCTGGTACCTCTGGTATAGACTCATAGACAGACAGACAACATCATGCGCTTTCGTGCATGCGCGTGTCACAGTCGTAGTTGCGTACACACCGTACACGCCGTGTGGTGTGGTATCCAGCAGGGTGGGTGGGTAGGGGGGGGTTGTTATGTTTGAGTACGTACGCGCTTGTCGGGCCTGTGAGGGGACACACTCATGCATGGCTGGCTGAAGGCGTACTTTTTAAAACTCAGCGGTGTCTCGTGGATCGCTCCCATTCTCGACTTTCTCCCATCTCTCCCCATCTCTCCCCCAAATCCCATCGCCTCGCCGCATTCAACCATGGCGGAACGACACACTGTCACATTTCGTTCCTTGTCTGGCTCTGCAGCATCAGCCACCGAAGAAGACCTCAGGCAGCTCGGCCTCAAGGTCAGGCCCTTCGCGTCCCTCGCCGCCCCCTCCCGCCTCCCCCCTGTGCCCATTACATCCGTCCTACTCCCAAAGGTGCCCTTCCAGTCCTTTGCGTCAGTGCCCACACGAGAAGTGGACCTCACAATGAGTCCGAGCCGAAACGCGTCCTTTCTCACGGCCAGAGGAGGCAACGACAATCCCATTGGCAAGGGGCGCCTGGTCAACGCGGGCGTTCCCCCTGCGCCAGCCGCTAGTTTGGCAGTGAGTATGACGAACATGAGTGTGGTGTCTGAGGGAGCCGAGGGGGAGGAGGAGAGGAGCCCGGTGGTGGTGGTTCCCCGACTGGCCCTCCCGGCTGGGAGGAAAGCCAAGGTCAATGACTGGTTCACTCACACAGGTGGGTGTAGGAAAGAAGAAAGGACGACAGACACAGATGGATGCACGTGTGATTCATGGTCTTCTCCCTTGGCTGGCTTCAGGGCGCAAGCGGTATGCAACGTTCTCCTTTTCCCTTGTGCTGCCGAGCATCAGCACTGCACGACAGCCTATACACGTGGGTGGGGTGGATGAGCCGCAGACAATGCTCTCTAACGTCACCAGGCAGGTACACGGCGGAGCGCTCATACGGGAGACACACACATGTTCATATGGATATATGCATTCGTCTGTGTGGTGGTCAGAGCAATGCAGCCCGTGCCCTTGAGGCGGCGGAGTTGAGGCAGACTGAGGAGCGGAAGAAGCTGCTAGATCTGGAGAGACAAAGGGGAGCATCTTCCGATACCATCCTGGAGAAAGGTGGACTTCGGGAGAGGAAAAGCTCTCCCATGTGTCTCATGTCCCGATTTGTAGATGTTTTCGACCGGTACCGTGAATTCCTATTCCACCAACAGCCGCAGGGTTTCTCCCCCTCCCTCCTGCCTCCCCTGCTCGACTACCGGGACCTCCAGCCGTCCCCCGCGCTCCTCGTGCCGGCAACCGACAGCAGCGGCAGCAGCAGCAGCAGTGCCACCATGCACACCCTCCCCTCCCTCACAGACATGGCCGAGCACCGCCGGCAGCGCAAGAGAGGCCGGCACTTCGACTTCAGCCTCAATGAGAGGGCGGAGCTGCTGCGGGCAATCCAGTGGTACAACCAGGCGTCAGGTTGGCAGTGGGAGGGGGTGGTGGGGCGGAATGTGTTCTGCCGGTTTGTGGTGAATCTGGAGCTGCCTGGTCTTGAGACGAGCGGTCAGCTGTGGAGCGAATTCATCGACCGCTTCTTGTGGGTGGCCTGGGTGTTCGACGCTCATGCGACCATCATACATGTCACGCGGCCACACCTGGTCATCATGCAGGTCAGTGACCGAGTGAATGGGGAGGAGAATCGATCTCTGTCTGTCTGTCTGTCTGTCTGTGTCTATTCCTGAGTCTCTCCCTCTGTGTGCTGTGCTGCCTTTAGAGGGGCCGGTCTGTGCTGACGAAAGCTCAATTCCTTTCTGTGATGGCAGAAGTCTTGGGGCACCTCATGCAGCCGGTAAGTGCAATGCGCTCCCTCTGCTCGCCCACTCACACACACTCCACATCTCTCTCTCTCCCTCTCTCCCCTCCCCCCCATCTCTCTCGACAGATTCAGTCGAGGATGGAGTACTTCATCAGCTACCACCTCAAACGAGCCGTCCAGCGGGTGGCCCCCTCGCTGCTCGCCCGAAGCCCCACCTCCTCACACCCACTCACCGACCACCAGGACTCACACACGCCACAGGGACTGCCACCAGCAGCAGCAAAGGGCAGGATGGGAGACAGGGAAGGCGGCACAATCAGGAGGAGAGGCTCACCGAAGGTGTGTGTTCTTGCGTTTCTGTGTGGTCGGCCCTTGTGCTTGGATGGATGAGTGTCTTTGCCTGTGTGTGTGTGTGTGTGTGTGTGTCTCAGGACAAGGAGAGCCGTAAGAGGGGGACTAAGGTCAGGAGGGACCCCGAGGGCGACCCCAGGGCGACACAGAGGCCCGACAAACGAATGGACGCGGCGAGGCACAAAGTTATGGGGGTCAAGGCCATCAAAGACGCACCAAAAGCCGGGGCTGACGATGAGGTACACACAGCCACCCCATCTCTCGGACCCCTCCCCTCCCAGCCCCATTGTGTAGTGCGTCTCATTTGTGCAGACGGTGTCCACAGTGCCGACAGTCCGCATATTTCGGCACGTGCGTTACATGCTGCTAGAGCCGGAGGTGCTCGTCATGTGTGCCGCCCTCCTGCCAATCTTCAAGCGGCTCTTTGCCGTCTACACAGCGATGCCGCCCAAAGAATCGGGAGGCGCACAGCTGACTGACAGCAAGGCCAGCGGCTGGAGCGATGCTTCCATGCTGGGTGGGTGGGTGCGATGAGCGTTGGGCGTCCACCAGTCGGTTCATGTGTGTGCGTCTGCAGGTCACATGACTCAGCGTGAGTTCGTGGTCTTCTGTGTCGACTTCGACATTATCCCCCGTCTGTGCCATCGCAGCCGGGCGGCGGAAATATACAACGACTCGCAGTGCCTCACATTCGTGGAGAGGAGGACATCATCGGATATCGCTGTCGCGCCCAGGCTACACAGGCGAGCATGGAGACCACCCTCCCCTCCCCACCCCACACACATGCACGCATAAGATGGTCATCTGTGTGTGTGTGTGTGTGTGTCTGTGTTTGTTGTCTTATCAGGTCAGCCACCGACAGCAATGTGTCTCTGGACTACCTGTCGACACACGCCATAGATGAGGAGACACAGAAGGACGACCAGGCAGCAGCAGCAGCAGCAGCGGATGACGCCAAGACCCCGCCGCCCTCCACGAACCCGCAGCAGAAGAGGTCGTCCATGGTGATCACCGGCACACAGCAGCAGGAGGCCCCTCCCGCCCTGCCCACACCACCACAGCCGACTTCCAAAGACAACAAGAAAGCCTTAGGGGCCGCAAAGGTGCTGGCTCCCTTGGCGTACGCGCGTCAGAATGGAGGATATGGACCGACTTTGTGGTGGGTGTGTGGTGCATGCAGGTGGGGGCTGGCGGCCGACGGCAGACGGGCAAGGACGAGAGGCCACCAGCGGTTGGAAGGGGGGTGGCTGACGCGCCGCCGGGCAAGAAACGGGCTGACGTCAACAAACTGAACAAAGTACGTACAATTGTGGGGACAGCAGCCACTTGGTCGATGGATGGATGACATACATATCGGCCGGCGTGTGCGTGTGTTCCGACTGCGTGTGCGTGCAGCGGTTTGCGGTGGCGTCTCTGATGGAGACCGTCCTGAAGATTGCCTTCCTGTATCTCCACCACTACAGCACACAGCCACAAATGGTACACACACATTCATGCCTTGCCTACACGGATGTGTCCACTCATTGGGTGGGTGGGATGCTTCAGGCGTCTTCCTCCTATGTCAAGGTGGTGTGGCTCTACACCTTCCTTCTCTCACGCATCCACCACGTCAGGCAGCTGCAGCAGCATCAAGGCGCAGCCAGCGACCCTCGGTCGTCCCGCGCCGGGACGGGCGTGACGGGATCGGCCGTCATGGGCAAAAGGGAAGGTCAGTATGTGTGTATCGGGATACATACGGCAGCAGGGAGACACGAACACCCACATTCCTCCGGGCGTGTGTGTGTGGTGTGTGTCTGCAGTGAGAAGCCCCAAGCTGCGAGAAGTTGCCAGTCAGCCAGAGATCTTCGAGGTGAGTACGCTCACACACGACGAGAGACACCAGGACTTCTTCCTTTTGGTGTTTTGCATTCCTCAGCTGGACGCCCTGGTGACGTCGCTCATCCGTCAGAAGCTGGCCATCCAGCCATCGGCCCGCGACGCCCCCTCCCCCTCAATCTCTCCCACAGCCTCCTACCTGCCCCTCCTGAAGAGCGCCCGGCCCTCACCCCGCCCACCACCCGACGTCAGCAGCAGCTCATCCCTCTCCCACCTTCCCCAGCACTTCTCGCTGTCACCAGAGGAGTTTGTGTGGGAGAGACAGGTGGAAGCACGCACCCTCGAGGCACTCATGGCCAGGGTCAAGCAGAGTGGGGCTGGTGGGGGCGGGGGCGGGGGCGGTGTGTCGCCCGTCAGCCGCAGACAGAAGGGTGGGAGGGGTTCGTCAACTGCGACGGTGGGGGACTTGCGTTTGTTTGTGGGTGTGGTTGGGTCTGGTATAGAGGGTGCGATGAACTGCAAGATGGGGGCGGGTGAGAAGGACGCTGTGCTCATGCCCCTCGTTGCCGAGAGCTCCACCTGAATGTGATGTGATGCGACTCTGACGTGTGCTGTACTGTGCTTGGGGGGGGGGGGGGGGGG